CCACAACCCCAAAGACGAACTGAAGATGGGTAGGCAATGGATGTTGTCCCGCCTTGATATGTACGTCATCAACGTTGCCTACAATGCGTATGGTATGTTGGATCGTTTCCGTTTGCCTGTGAATGCAATTTTACACATTGTCTTATTATTGTTGCCAAGAGACATTGTAACAACACCGGAGCTCATTAAACCTGTTACGAATTGGTTAAATTAGCGATAGCTTCCGAATCTTTCAGAAGCTGAGCCTTTTCCCCTTAGGGCCTACCTACGAAAGTTATAAACTGCTAATAAATTTTGAAATAGCTTCAACACAGTCACAACGAATCTTGAACAGGTTTTTCAGTTTTAATATTTGATACCATTGATTTTCTTTGTGAAGAGTTTTTGCAGATGTCATGCATTATTTGTTTTGTGTTAGAGCCACTGAGCACTCTCAGGCTGACTTTGCACGCTCTCTTGTTTGGAAAATTTCACTGCAGAAAAAAAATCAAAATTGCATTAAATAGACTACAGCTGCTGCGTTGGACAGATCTCTACATGTTAGCCCAACTATTGTGCTGGTGCTTCTGTTTGACAGATATATGCCCGTCTGACCTGTGGAACCAATGTCGTCGAGGTGGCGTACCTAACAAGCATGTACCTGTGACTGCCTGCCTGCTTTTGCGGGTCCTTACTGCGAGATCTTCACGCAACCAACCGGTACGATGTCGCTCAAGCAATACACTATCAAGTATCGATTCTTTTAAGCAATTGAAAGGTCTCTTTCCTATCCATAAGACCTCAGTATGAATTCGTTCACTACTTAGAAATCCTTAAGTTGATTCCCGCATCCGAGTCCACTGCCCACAACCGCTCATATTAGCGAGGTTTTAAAGCAAAATGGCTATGCTGTATTCGAAAAGTGGCAGTAACATAATTATTAGCTTATTGTGTAATACATGTGAGTATTATGTAATATATTGAAGTGAGGATGGTAGGGAAGAATAGCAATTTATTTTTCAAAATTGATATTTTCAAACATGAAGGAAACTGAGGAAAACCAAAGTGAGAAAGAAGAAAAAAGAGACAAAGAAAGAAAAAAGTATTCGACCGGACTTCGAACCGTGCTCTTTCTTTACTCTTTGCTGGTGCTCATTATAATGTATAACCTACATGCTTGGTACTGTGGCATTTTGTTAGAGCCTCGTTTATTAACGGCGATGAGCAGTCGAATCGTGATTCCTAGGAAATTTGACATACTGCTAAGTGAATATGGCCTCTAGCAGTTTTGCCACTTTGAAAACCTGCTGAAGACTAAATATATTTAAATATTTTTTCTCAGACTGTAGCGAGATTTACACGAGTCCATCGGGTACCATCTACTCTCCAGGGTTCCCTAGCTCGTACCCAAGCGGTAGCAAGTGCACTTATGTTGTTGAGGTAGGGTATTAATAATTAAGCACTGTTGATATGCCCTACGCAAATGAGTATAATAGCTTCACGCGTCTTGTTGATATGCGTATTTTGCGGTCGTCATTTGTCGAAAACATACGCATGTGAGTTGGAGAGTGAACCGAAAAGGTAGATCTGGTCTTATATCGGGTTCCATCATGTCATACCTCTGAACATGGCTAACCAATTAGGGAGTGCACCCCTGTAGCATCTTAAAAGCTGCTTAAAACCATGTACAGAGACATGTTCCTTTATGGGTATTATATTTTGCGTTTTCATTTCACTTGACGGTGTATTGATTGGACTATCAAGCAGAAGTGAAATTACAACAGATTAACGAAAAATTTACTCCTATTCCAGCTAAACAGCTGGTGAACGTCGGATTTTCTTATCTGTCGTCAACTGGTTCACTACACAAACTCTGACACTGTTACGTCTAGAATTTCCTTGGATATCTGTTAGTGATACATTTTGTGACATCCAGAAAACAGCACGATAGTTTCTGTGAAATGTTTTGTTTAAACGCAATTTTGTTCAGTGTGCAGACAACGAAGTCATTGAGCTGAATTTTACGACGTTCCAACTGGAGGGCTGGGGATGTTGGTTCGACAAGATGTCCATGATGACAGGAGATCTGATATCAGAAATCTACGCCGACGAGTAAGTTCAACGGCTCATCATTTGCAGTTGAGAGTAGTTACTAAACAAACCTCCTCTCACCGTCGACGGATTATACACTGTATTTTCTATCACGGCCTGATTTTTTTTCGAGTATCAGCACATATTATAACTCCGTGCATTATGATGGAAACAGCATTGAAATATCCAGTCAATGGCTAAAGTGTCAGTGTCCAAATTCTTTTTTGCAATATGGATTGTCGATAATGCTTCCAATTTTGTCTTTTTATTCAGCATGCTGATATGTCAAAAATACCTTTACACTCTATGCATTTCCCTCGCAGGTACTGTGATGACGACCTGCAGGGGCAGCAGATAGTAACATCCAGTAACGTGGCCATTATGGACTTCGAGAGCGATGACCTGTTTAATTTTGCTGGATTCCAGATCGACTACCGCTGTGTTTCGACACTGCGTTGATCATTCCGTCAGTCGAGGCACTGTCCGCTTCCGCACAAATCCTACGCCTGCTACGGTACAATGCGGAACAATTTCAGTAGACTGGGACCCTATTCCATATCGGACTTTCTTTGATATTTATTATTAATAATATTGAGACATATAAATCAATTAATTTCTTTTGTGTGGTGGAACGTTTTGACAGTTGCTTCTAAAGAGTGTGAATGGAAATCAATATTCCAGTTTAATTAATATGCACTTGAAATTTGATTTGATTCATGGATAAGGAAATTGAATGCAATGGTGATTGAGGATTTTTTTAACTCGCAATTTGTTTGTAAAGAATGTTTTGAAATTTGTGCCACTCTGATATTTCGAATTTGTTCAGTTTGGAGTTTAGTTGCAATGCAACCACCACCAGCAATTTTTTCTACATGCAGTAATACTCGCCATAAGCATCATTCTGCATTGAGTATGGTACCGTTGTCGAGTCAAGAGACATCTTATCGAGTAATGATTATAGCCTACTAACACTGAGAGGAAATTAGTAGTTTGAATAAATGGAATTATAATCTGGAATCTGGAGGGTCACAATGGATCTCTAATGCCATGTATGCATTTGCATGTGGAGAATCGGTTGGAATAAAGTCAAGTAATTCTTAGCTCAGACCTCTGACTGCTTGACTGTCATTAAGTCAGTACGGACACAGAAAGGGTGCATGCTCAGTACCATTTCCCCATGGCATTAGCTGCCTCCTGCATCTATCACTCTACTCATCCTTCTGAGCTCCGAATGAAACTCACTGATGCTCACCAGACTGATGTTTGAAGGACAAGAAATAGGCTGTTTCTTAAGTTTCAAAATGGTTGCAGCGAGCGTGAAAAAGCAGTGGGTTTGAACCTCGTTCCCAATGTGACGTGGAGTGAACCTCTTTGGCTATAAACCACTCCCAACCCTGGTGTGCTTCCAGAGCTACGGCTACGTCTACTTTCAGCTTGTTCCCGCATAAATCCAACGGAGCAAATACCAAGACCTAGCCCTATTGGGTCCAGATTTGGATCTAGTCTCAAAAAGAAGCGAACTGGTTCGTTTCAACGATATACTCTATGATGACTGGTTGATTTCAAATGGTACACTTTGCTCTGATTGATCACTTTTAAAAGTATTCATTTTGCTTTGATTGGTTAATCTCCTCACAAATCTTTGTCTCATTAAGAATTCTACACTTGGTCCATCAACCTCAGTTTACTTGTGCAAATGAAATCGTGATTGCATGATTTTGCATACTACACATATTCTGTTTCATCTAAGTCCACCGTACAACAGATATTAATTATTTATTGCTAAACTGAATTGTATAACGTAGAGAGTAACAATGTTTGTCCAGCGACTGTTGCTTGAACAAAATGCACCCAAAGCCGATTTTGGACATTCTGAGTTCATTCCTTAAAAAGCAAACTAGAGTGTAACGATGTCTTCTGTAAAGTTTGCGTGCAAGTTTGGTTTTTTTTGGGGGGGGGCTCAAACTTGTATGTACAAAATGGAGCGGCGGTGTACACGATGACCTTTCTTAGATTGTTTTTTAAAAAAACACCATACGGGAAATGTTTGTGTCCTGAAGAAGGCATTGTTCAGCTTTCACTATTTATGTTTCGATATCCGCGTTGCCCATCGCACTTCCTAAAGTTCTTTCAACAGGAACATACCAGTGGCAGGTGTACTTTGCATTTTTGCTAAACTTAGGACTGGGGTAAGAGCAGCTGGTTTGGGGGGAAAATGCACCTTTCGTCACCGATTTCCTACTTCTTAAGTTCATTCCAATGAATATGCACTAGCGATTTCTTTAAGTTTGTTTGCAGATATTGCAAAAACATTTTAGGTTAACCCTAAAAGAGCTAGGTTAATTATTTTGGTCCATCTCACCTGGGGGGCGGATTTCTCCCAAAACTTGGCCGTTTTCGAACTTGGTGTTCATGAGAAAACACATCAGTACAACCATTGATTTTAACTGAATCCAGAATACGGTTTTTTGTACAGTAATTTGAAGTCTAAGACTACATGCGTCTAGCCTGCTCGTGTTCCACTGGGCACGGCAGAGGAAAAATACACATTTTTGGTGGATCTGCACCGGATCGGTGTCAGAATGACCACTATAGAGTTACCAAAACCTCCTAAGGACTCAGCTTGTGCAATAAATGTACAGCAGCGACATCAAACATTGTTAGGGGGCTGGACTCCGCCCAGGCTCTTTGCAGTAAAGTTGGGACGGACAAAATAGAAGAACGGTGAACAGAATGACCCTCTGTGGACCTTTTTGAAGTCACAATGCCGGAAATGTTTGTGTAGCAAGCAATGTTTTGCTTCCACCTTTTTATAAACTTCCAATATCCGATCTTACCTGTTGCACTATCAGAGATAGCCGTGATAGGCGAACTTTGTTATCTTGTGGTAAGGTTTATAAGAGGCCCATCCAACTGCACTTCACCACAGAGTGGACTACCAGTGGAAGCCAGCTAACATGGCATGGGATATAGTGGTGATTGTAGCGTCATTGATTGCCTGTCAACTTGGTATGAGGTGGATGTTTTTGTTGTTGTACACATTGGTGAATGGTTTCACCACCCCTCTTTTGAACTGTTTCTTTGCACTCTCGTACTGTATGCTACATATTGTGGCGTTTATCAGACGCTAGTTTTGGAATTTGAATTGTTAGAAATCTGAAAACGTTCCTTGTGCTCCACGATTCAAGCTAATAAAGTAAGTTAATAAAACGATTTGATTAACACCCTTTACACTCTGTGCCGTGTCACAGTTCATATTTGGTCCATGCATGGAGGACATGTAAGGACTGACTGTAAATCAGTGTCGGTAAACTTAGGAGACAAGAGCAAATCTCATATTAATCTGGCTAATGTGAAGGTAATGACCTTTCTGTGTGTCATTTCTCATGATCTACCCATAGAGTTGTCATCGAGTAATTCCATCGGTGATGAAGCAGCTGGAGGTTACAGGACTCCGCTTCTGACAGGTAACTTAAGAGAAGCCTAAACTAAGTAAATGTCTAGTTGACTGTGGACGGCGGACAGCAGAGAGAGAAAGTGCTGAAACTTACACGCACATGCCGAAAAGTAATAAACTCAGTAATTATTTTAGCTTAATTATCACTGCATTGTTTGATTTGCTCTGTGGCCTCATTTTTGGGGGCGTCTTTACGCTTGTACATCAAAGACACGGCGGAAATGAATTGCAGTGACAACAGGTCCTCGGTTGGCAACCTGCACCGGATGAAAAACTATAGATTCATCGAAGAAAATGGGTAATCAGAAAGTGCTATCAAAGCAAGCTATTAGAGAGCTATGAGACGAACGATGGTCCTTGCTGTGTAAACGTCTGCATGTTACTAATGCTTGAGAAGTATACATTTTTCGTCGGCCCAAGGAACAATATCTATTCACTTTACTTATTGGATTGTCAAGTCTACTTGCCAACGTAATGCCCCAGGGTTGTCAATAATAGCTCATTATAGCGGAAAGATGGGCATCTTAGCATGACAAAGCTCTCTCTGCTGATGATTCCTTTGTAGAAGCACCGTGTACCAGTGGGCCGCTAGGAATGCAAAGTGGAGCTATCCCCGATAGCAGCTTATCGGCTTCTTCCAGTTACAACTCCAATTATCGACCGTCCAATGCTAGGCTGAACGTCGGTAAGTCAGGTCGTTTAGACGCGCCGTTAGTAGCTTCTTTCAGTGACCTTATTTGAATGAAAGACTTGAGCGATATTTGTAATACGTCACTATCTGGCACGGGGCCTAGTTGTCACCAGAAAAGGGAAAAGTTTGTTTGTTTGTTTTTGAGTTGGGGTCAAAGCATTCATGACAAACTGACAAACCATCAACGTTTGAGAGAGGCCAATCCTAAGATATTTTTGTCTCACTTTAAAAAAAATGTATTTTTGGTCAAATTTTATTCCGGGGCGGGGCAATTGGACATGGGGCCAGTTGGATAATTCTGCTTCTAATGATGCATGAAAAGGATCACCTTCTACTAAACAAAACAAAGTGCTTAATAATAAGAGGTAATTCTTCACCGACAGCTCGAACGACGGGGAGCATAATTAGTTTAGAGTATTAAAGACATAGTGACCTTTCCCCTTGCCCCTACTGACTATGTTTCGGTGGTCATCGCCAAAATACAGTAATTGTTGTCCAAGTTCAACGTTATATATCTAAAGCTGAGAACGATGAAATTCTTATCGAATCGGTACAAATGTGCTATTGTCTTAGGGAGACGTATATAATTATGTCTGCAATAGTCTCTTTTCTCGCAGCCAATCAAATGTTAGCAAACATAACTTTTTGGTCGATGTTTTTCATTCAACATTCTTCCGTCGTGTAAGAAAAGCACTTCGTGTCATGGAAACACCAACAATCCTTTGCTGGCTGCCAGAACAGGCCTTATGCGATTGGTCAGATTGCACGAGGTTTGTGACGTATAGCCTGTCCAAATAGGGTATTATTCGAGACTGATAACGATGTGCTCTTTATCTTTGGCGAGATCACTCAGTTTTAGGGGAGCAATGCCGTTCAGGCTACCCAATAATGTTTGAGGTTACAGTGACAGTTTCGCACTCTAATACTAAGACTCTGTTTGTTTCACACCGATCCGAATCCGCTGTTAGTTTCATTGACACCAGAATCCACTTGATGGATGGAGCGAGATCTGATCCGATCGAGATCGAAATCCGTGTTAACAAACAGGCCCTAAGACCATGCCTTCCCGAAATGCTACTGCAGAAACAAATGTCTCCTGCTAGGTTCCGATTGGTGGAGGCCACGCTACCACCAGGACCAATGGTTCCAGGTGGACCTTGGCGACCACACAGCCGTCACTGGACTGATAGTCCAGGGACTGCACTACCACCATGTGTCCGCCTTCACCGTGCAGTTCAGCAACACTGCCGAATCAGAAGACTGGCTTGCGTTGACTGACGCGGAGGGGAACATTCTGGAGGTATTTGGCGAGATTGGCAATTGAAATCCACAAATAGCACTGTTTTTTAAAACTCCGTTATTACATTTGTATCTATCAGTTTTAATATCGATTTAAATAAATGTTTGAAGTTCGAAGGAGCACTGGGTCAGCGTATTAAGGTAATTGGGAAGTTTGCATGATTTGCATTCGGTGGATTTGTCTGTTATTTATGAAGAGAAAAGAGACATATGTTTAGTCTTTTCAAGTTATAAGCAGATAACTTAAAAGGAGAGCATGTCCCAAATGCTTGGATATTTGATCTTGCGGCAAAGCAAATGTTTTCAATGAATTTTCAATCCTTCTTTAGATACTTTTCCTTTTTGATGATGTTTATATTGGCGTTACCATTATTACCTTGTTGCGGCAAAGGTAGATACAAGGAAGGCCTATTCAATTAAACAATTTTCTGACTTCATTCAGTTCCATGGAGATTCCTCTTATCAAGTGACGGTCACGTTTCCTGTGGTACCGATGACCAGATACATTCGGATTTTGCCGACTGCATGGAGTACTACGTCGTACCGACTCAAGTTTGAAATCCTTGGTTGTCGAGGTAACGTGGCCTTCGTTGTTTTGTCAGTCAAATAGAATCGTCATCAAATCGTGCAAAAATGCTCCTACTGCAATGGGTTGTCACTTTGCAGTCCGCCTAGCTAGACCAGCGGTCATTCATCGGTCATCGCTGATTCTGCCTGGTACCTGGAATGTCATCGTGCACTGGTTACCAGGCAAACCTAGACTGGTTCCCTCCCATGCGTAGTCTCCAGACGTCTTACTGACGTCCTCCGAACGCGTTAGGAGGTAATGATTCCGGAGGAATCCTGCCGGGTTTATGTTAATAAGAAAAATAGCATGTAATAATTCCCACAGTTAAACACTTTCACGGGACAAAATGCATGGACGCATGATGGATATTTATCTGGAAATGGAGCTTTTCGAAGCTGTCCACAGCAAAAAGTCAATGCCAGGTAGAACAATGAGTGTTGTTATTTGAAATTAAAGGAGGCATTGTGTCTTGAGAATAATCTCAGAGGCGATACTGTGTTTGGCCGTGAGCATGAAAGGTTAGATGTAAACATCATCTCCATAAAGAGAAAAAGCAGTTGTGCATGCGCAGAGGTAAATCAACCACGGACCAGAGAAGCCAGCTACAATCCTGGACAAAAGGTCAATTTTGCTTAGTTACCATTAGAACTGTACACGCACAATACAAAATGGGTATATAGCTATCTTGCCTTTTCTTGTTCAATTTTCCCGAAATATACATTAATCTATACTTGACATTCGGCTGTAATTTTAGTTTTCCACAAACAACACCGGAAAACACACGCCAAATTACACGGTAGACACAATGTTGTGTCTATTCGCGCTGTCTGAGCTCCAGCCGGACATGACAACATTGATCGGGAGAAGTGGGGTGGGGGCTGGAGAGCGTACACGGCTATTGCCAAGTGTCCCGACAATTTTGTCCAGGATTGTAGTTACTGGTCCTTATAATAGAGAAGGGGACCAGTCCAAGGCAAACCTAGACTAGTGGCTGGGGAATGAACCCTGATCAATGTCTACCATTGCTCTTTCTTCAGATGGGGTAGTGCGGCTGGTGGGCGGCGACGGCGCCCTCAGCGGCCGGGTTGAAATCTACCACAACGGCGCCTGGGGGGCAGTGTGCGACGAGGACTGGGACTTTTTGAGCGCAACCATGGTTTGCCGCCAGCTTGGCTTCCCAGAGGCCCTGGAGGCCAAACAGGGATCGTTCTTCGGCGAGAGCGAGCTACCCATCGTGATGAGCCGGGTGTCTTGCAAGGGGAACGAGAAGCGCCTGGCTGACTGTCCATTCGTCTGTAACATCCCTCGCCAGTGCAACAATTCCAGGGAAGCCGGAGTCATATGCAAATGGAGTAAGAAAAACAAATCACATCATTTTAAAGGAGGTTTGCGAGTTTCCAGTCCCTTTTAAAGACAACGTATAAAATACGTGTACTTCCTCTCTTCCATGGTTTCATATAGACCACTCTCATTTTCCCCACAACTTATATGGGCGGCCAAAGTTATCCAACACCACAAAGTAGCATTCAATTGTACTTGCCTGCTACTTCGTGAAAACCATGTTTACAACAATTTCGGTTTCACGAAGTAGCACTCAAGTGTGCGCGCACATGGTACACTGATGCATAATCGAATGATTTTCGTTTCACGAAGTAGCACTCATGTGTGTTTTGTCAATATAGCATGTATAAAAACACTTTGAAAGGTTTAAAATGATTTGATTCACCCGTGGAAGATGCTCTTTAAAACTTGTTTTAATTGTTTAAATTAAGGAAAAAGTCAATTCCTGAAAACGACAACTCATGGAGCACGTGCCGAGTGCTACTTCGTGAAAATGAAAATAACACATTTCTGTGAAATACGCGCTGAAGCGGCGCGCACATCTCTACTTGAGAACTACTCCTTGGTGTTGATGACGGTTTGTACAAATATCACTTTTTGGTAGGTTTATTTTGTTCAAATTGGATATTTGACTCAATGATTTTAAATAGGGTTGTGTTTTCATTTAGTGTTTGTTAGTGCGTGTGTTATCTTGTGGTGTTCTGATATTTCTGTGGCATTTTACTTTTTAAACTCTTTTTCACCGACCAGCTATAATTGTAGAAGCCACTTGTAGAAAAACGTGCGCATTTGTGCAGTCAAAAGAGCAGACCGTATACCCAATTCGACTATCTAAAATCGTTAACAAACGAGACTTTTAAAGCAAAATACCAGTATCTAAAAAGTAGAAGTAATGAATTATCGTGCCACTTACTTGGCTTTAGTCGGTGGCCTCATGGAGATAGGCTACCTCTATGGTGGCTTGTTGGAGTAGGCGATTTGGGGAAGAATAAAAAAAACCCTGTAAAATGTAGTAGTAAATTAAGTAACCTTTCAAATTTGATCTTTTGCACACTAAACAGTCAGAGAACTTAAAACAGAAAACAGTGCCCCTCTGGGATGTGAACCAGAGACACCTACATTTTTGTTTTCCTCACACCATTATGCATGCCAGTTCGACCACACCCCCTTTCCCTTCTTTTGTGCAAATGACCTCACGCAATGAGGCTGAAGCTGTTACGTACTTCAGGTGTCTATTACCGAAAGCTGCAACCTGTGGCATTTTACCCTATTAGATGCGTCTTGTATTGGCCATATGACGCGACATATGGGGCGGAGAGAACCCCCCCGCCTTTGTGTTAGTCATTGTTTCATCGGAATCAGAGGACTTCTTTTCAGAGTTCTAGGGGATGTGTTAGGTAACAATAGTCTAGAGTGGGTACAGGGATTGGACATGTGGGGGGTACCCATCGGCCCCATATCGTGCACGGTTTCGTATTGACAGCGGCTGGTACATGTAGTTGGGTGTACATTTATATGTGGTTTAGGGGGAAATTATGTTCAATGGAATTTGTGACGAGTCGCCTAAAGACAAAATGGAATACAGGGGAAATTACAATAGATGTTCACCTGAAACTTAATCGGCAGATTCTGTCCGGTTGGTCAATGGTCCGAATCGCGCCAGTGGTCGTGTGGAGATTCTCCAGAACGGCCGCTGGGGGACGATCTGCGACAATGACTGGGACTTGACAGACGCTTCGGTGCTCTGCCGCCAGCTGGGCTTCCCCAACGCTGTTGAGGCTGCGACAGGCGCCCGCTTTGGTCAAGCCAGGGCCCGGTGCTCATGGACGGTCTGGCCTGCTCCGGCTCGGAGAGCAAGATCACTGACTGCCCGTCCTTTTGTTGGGAGAAGACTCAATGCAATCACACCCAAGACGCAGGCGTGGTCTGCAACGAGGGTAAGATCTAGTGATCAGAGCTGTATTAGCACCGACTTCACATTTCATAACTGAAATGGATGTTGCTGACGTTTCATCCACCATTCTAGTTCCAACAATTGAGACGCTTATGTCGCAACTCTCTCAATACGTAGCTCTGGCTTCTATGGAGTAAAAGTGCTGCCTTCCTCAAGATTTCTCTTTTTTGATGTTCTTAATCACGTAGCAAGACTTGGTAAGCGGGTGAAGACGTGCTTTTGGTTTTTTCGTCCTTTTTTAAATTAATGCACAATGGTTAATCAAAAGTCCCAAATTACTACCAATTAGAGCATGACAATATTAGCGTTCCACAGTTGAACTTTTAGAAGCATTTTGGGTATGCTTACCATCGCTTCTTTTACTTAAAGTAAAGTGAACCTCAAGTATTGAAATCAAATGAACGTATTCTTTCCAGTTTAATTAAAGATTAACCCTTTTTCACATTTCAGCGCTGAGAAGAAAGTTATCATTCGGGGAAGGATTTGTGGTGTAACGCATGAAAGGCGCCACCTATAGTGCGAATGGTCTTATCCTGTCTGCAGAGCCGTGTATGATTATAATGATGCCATGTTTGTCTTGTTCCCAGGAGATCCACTGCCTAATAAAACTTCTCATATTCATAAAAGGGAACAGACTATTTGTCTTTCAGCTTCAGGGCCATTTTCCAATACTCAACTTCGTCTCCGTCTCCGGCTTCGTGTAGGGAACCAATCCTCGATTGATGGCCTGAAGCGTTCAACTTAAAGTGAAATACAGTCATGTTTGGTTTTTTTGAATCTTACTTGATGTTTTGTGGCACTATCAGACTTACTATTGCGCTTATAACCTCAAAGTCAGGAAGTAAAAAAAAATCAGTTGAAGCCTCAAACGGAGCCCAAGTCGAGTATTGGAAAACGGCCCAGTTTCGTTGCATTGCTTTGAATGCAGTAAAAAAGCAAAATGAACGCCCAATGATAGAGGTCTATTGAGAGTAGCGATACCTTTGAGATTAAGAACCCAAATGACCGTTCACTATGTACACAGTACAGCCTGCATCCATCATATATGAACTTGCGAATGGCTCATAATATTTTGGTTCCTACAATGGGTTCTGCGCTGGAACAAGAGAGGGCGCAAATTTCCTAGCAACGGAGGCTCCTTTGGTAGTAACTGCACGACTATGAAACACAAGTGCTGCAGTCACATCCGCTTCGAACACTATGAGCACTCCCGACCGACATGGCTTTTATCAACCGATGAGGGGGTGCTCCTGCTGAAGGCGGATTGAAACACTCATGACACAGCCTTCTCTATAAATGTGCTCAGCTTTGGGTTAACACAGAGCTGTTTATATAGTTCCAAAGTCTGAAGTTGGCGTTACTCTCTCTCTGTTACCCAGGCCTTAGGCACAAACACATAAAAACATAGACCACCATCTCTTGCTCGTATAACCGTGATTTTTAAAAAGCGTGGGCGCGGGCAAGCAATGGGCGAAACGATAAATGGCACTACGTGAGTGTGACTTGCGCGTGACACATTAGGAATGCCTGTATTTGTTTACATAGGCTCTAAAAAGACACTCCTTTTTTATTATTTTGTGCTGATATCTCTTCTGTTCAAATGTTGTAACAGACCGCACGTTTTAGATTCTGCATGGGTAGATTAACTAAACAGAGGATTTGTTCACAATCGAAAAATGGTTTCATAGAATATTGTTTGGCTTGCATTATTTATCTGTGCGTAAATTCCCTATGCCGAGTGGTGAATTTGCCCACGCTTTTGGATTTAGTCGGTAGCCGTCTCGGCTCCGGTACCCCGCCGTTGCTTTGAATAGGAGGTACCCGTCTATGTGTTTATGTGTCTGTGCTCTTTGAGTAACGTAATGAAAAAATCCACCTTGTGGTGAATGGAGTCGTATCCTGTTAGTCTGCATTATTGTTCAATAACGTCACGAAAGAAAACACGCCTACCATTGTCTTCGTGCGCTCTGTTTCATTTAGAACATTTGTTTATTGTTTTACTGTTGAAGGGTAATCTCTGATGACCGTGATCGTGGCAAACAGGAGTGGAACCGAGAGGAAGAAATCAAGAGTTCTGCTGAAGTCAGTGCTGTCATGTATAGTCACATTCTATCCAATCATGTAGCGTAAAAGTGATGAGCTGTCACGACCTTGTTTTATGTCTGGTGTTAATGTTGTTAAGTCACTAGCGGAACGCACTTGCATGGGAAAGTGAATCAGGTTGGAAAAGGTATGGTGAAATTGAAGTGTCATTCACATCCGGGTCTTCGTGTGCAAAAAGTGCTCCAGCTGAAGCTTGATACTTTGAACTTCATTCTCAAGATTGTTGTTCTGCTTGGGACCACATACAGTCGCAGTGGAATTATTTGGGCCAATTTAGCCACCAAATCTTTTAGTCATATTAAATTTTGTTTTAGATTTTCCACTTTGGATAATTACTCTGAGTCTTCCAAATTCTTCACACCAACCATACTATTATAACAAGAATCGGCTTTTAGTTATCGCTAGACTAGTTTTGACTTGTGAAAGTAGGACATCAAGAACATTACGGATTACGGGATTCATTTCATTATATTTCATTATAATTATGTTACGATGAAATTTAATGCAAAGATTCGCATGAATTTTTAAGCCTATTCTTAGTATATACTTTTGAAGGATTTCAAGATTATTACACAACATTTAACATATCTTCCTATTTACAGTCAACACATTACTTTGATGCAGCGCATGTTATGATGTCCAATGATAGTCACCTTACATGGAAATCTGATTATTGCTGATAAAGATTCACACAAGAATGTGTGTGCTTATAAATATGCTGAAAGACTGGTCTAACCTCGCTCGGAGTGTGCACGAATTAATCCGTGATAGAAATCATTAGTAAAGCCTGTTATTGTCCATTTGATCTGATTTGTTCAAACGGCTGTCGGCAAACTTAATATTTGAAGTAAAATGAGCTTTTTCGGTTCAGGCGTTTTACTTAGGAATGTTCAAGTCCGCAAGTCCCGTTCATGTTTTTATTCACAGGTGTAGTTATGAATACACATTTTATAAATTTGATGTAAGCAAATTTTCTATAAATATATATTTTGCTAGTTGATTTTAAGTAATTCTATGAGGTTTAACGAGGCTTGTAGCACTTCTTGTTTCCATACTAAGCGGCTTTGTAAAATTTCCACAATGACTGGAAGGGAAAGAAAAGTAGCAGGTTCACTTTTTTGTGAAATAAACGTTCTTTTCTGATCTTTGGGGAAACACAAAGATGTTTGTAGTTTGATTGCTGGTGAAAATATAGATACGCTCATCCCAGTGTATAATAAAGTCGTGGAACTGCAAGTGTTCGTGAGACTGTAAACTCGTTTTGAATGCAGAAACTCTTGGTGAAGTGTCTTAACAGGACAAACAGATTTGCACTTCGTCTGGATGTGGGTCAAAAGACTGCATTCAGCCCCTGCAAAGGACCGGTGAAGGCTGTTATGCCTAACTACAAAGAGTATTTATTGGGATTGACAGCGGTAATGCTTAACTCTCCGTGGAGTCGTTTACACTAGCCCATACAAAACATGTACACTGCTGTCTTTATGAATACCGAGAATTTCCCCGCTGTTTCATTTTAGGCGAGCAAATTAAATTTCGGGCGAGCAACATATAACAATAAGCTATCGTGTATGCGGCAATGTTGTGTTTATAACTTTGTTGGCCAATTAAAAGAAGACAAAAGACAATAAAATGACCCCCCAAACGGCCAATTAGAAAATAATTGAATGTGACAAGAGTGCGCATTCCACAGAACTGCGCTAAAATGTTTTTACTGTATGGACTGTGTTCTATCTCCACAGCAAGATTCCCGCTTCGCGCGCTAATCTGGAATTAAACCACTGGCATTCACAGACGTGAGATTTCCAACAATACATGGACCTTGCATACGACAACGCTGGTGCGGCGTTGTGTGACCGTTTTAGCCCTGGTTTTAGGGTACTACAAAATCATCGGATGTTAACAATTCCGGAATCCTTGAGGGTTTGCGTCATGCATTCCACGCTGTCAACATGTGGTGTTGCAATCAACTACTTTTACTTGGTTCCGAGGGTTTTAATTATACATTTCATGGGCAGGTCCACTTTTGGAGGATACCTTTTCCTTTTCCTGCGTGTCTCTTTGCTGGTTATTTAACTACCTCAGATTCAGGAATATTCTCTTTAAAATATTTCCCACTCGCATGTGTGGGTTCACCTTTATTTTCAGTGCCCGCACTCTATCGTTAATTCTTGGAGCCTCCGTCATTTGGTAATACCAGATCTGTTACTGTTCGTTGTCCTTCAGCCGCGCAGTTCTGGTACCCCTATCCAATTCCCCTAGATGTCAGCTTGGTGTATTTCTGGCTTCGTTTCCTTCACCGGACAGCCATCTGTTTATAAAATATTTAAGTTTCCTACACTAGATATCTTTGCCATCAATAACAAGAATCGAATGATCAAATTCCCCTGTTTTACAAATAATATCCAGAATGTCAGTTGTTCTATCCATACTCTTCTTGTTGATTCAAACGATAAAAGTTTACTAATTCATGCCAACTTTAGGCTATTCTTCAAGCTTAAGTTCAGCCTTCAAGCATTAATTCAATCTGCAAACATCAGCGTCTTCAAATATAAGTTGTCTCTGTTTATTTGAAATCAGAGCCACTCTTTTTAACTCAAGCAAATATTGATCTCTTGCGTGAATAATTAAATAAAATAACTTAAGGTTGGGTGGCTCTAAAGAGGAACCGCCTATCTCCTTGGTGTTTCAAGAGCGTAAAGCTGCTCACTGGGCCTTTGACAAAACCCGCCCAAGTTTCTCTGCCTCAGATAGGGCCTTTTCACACACAACCGAAAATCGTCGGACTTCCTGCTATAGATGTACTATGCCTGGTGGCTAACAGTTCGTATGAACACACGCACACACAATTTAATAATACACAATCCTGGGAAGAGTTTTGGCCTGTGCTTGATCAAATCTGGTCTGATTCGATTCCCCCACTCTTCCAATCAAGAACCCGCAAACATCCAATCACTGACACATACTCGTTTTACATACGAAGTGTGGTTATTCTTTGTTCTTCTGGTGAAAGTAAATGCTCCTTTTTCTCCCACTAGGATAACTCCTTGGAGCTGGATTTTTTATGATGATTTCCTGGACTGTTCGTCTCCATTTTGTTACAGATAACCTTGACTCCACAATTCCTCTGAAACTGTTTTTCAGAGAGGGGAAAACATTGTGCGGACGCACAAGTCCACGCACCGCCATCGTACCCTGCATTATGTGGACTTCTTTTGTGCAGAGGTCCACACTATGTATGACACGCCTGCATCAATTTTTTTCTCTGTGGGCAAAACAACTCCCCAGACCCTTTGTACCAATACCTGTGCAGCAGAGTTGGTAGGATCCAAAGTGAGCATCTTTACACAACCATGGCATTTACGCAAACACCATGCAATTTAAATAGGCACTGTATCAAACAAAGGCTGCGGAGCAGGATGATGCAGTTTTTTAAACAAAAATAGGGGTGACACTGGATATTCTTAGTTACCTCTTCACCGTCTCACGTGGGTTCAACCTGTATCTTCATATGTACGACCTACAAACTGTGCTTACCACTTTTGAATTTTCAACTCAGAACTGAGAGAAGTTTGCATCATATCCTCATGGCCGACATAGTTTATTGCTACACTTCATTGTATCAACGCTACAGAATGACCTTATGTGGACCAGTTTGAAGCAACAATACCGGAAATATGTGTGTCCTCTAGAAAGCATTGCCCAGTTTTCTCTTTTTAATTGCTTCCGATATCCTTTGTTGTCAATCGCACTTTAAGAGGTAATTTCGACGGGGAAATACCGGTGGCAGATGAACTTTGTTATCTTGCGAAACCAAGGGCCGTGGTAAGCTTTATAAGAAGACCAACCCCTCTTCACTTCACCACATTAGTGAACTACTAGTGGAAGGCAGCAAAAATGGCATCGGCATGGGGCATAGCGGTGGTCGCAGCGTCGTTTATTGTCTGCCTGCTTGGTATGTCACGACTTTTCCTGTCTTGTATTGCTGAATGTTTTCCCTAAGTCTTAGTGGCGGTTATCAGATACTGTACTCGTGGGTGTCTGTTTAATATAATAAAGTAAGAAAAAATCTAACAACACTCCTAAGCTTTCCCACTGGTAATGGTGCCCCATATGGGGGGCCATGCACTTTTTAACCACTAGTGGTGTAAGCTCGGTTGATGATAGGGTAATAATAAATGGATGCAGATGCATAGTCAAAACAAAAAACGTGACTGGATTCCAGAGACTGAATTTAACGTCTTAGGTTTTAGTAATTCTGTTTTAGTCTGCACGAGAAAGAGCAAATTGAGTTTTTTGTTTTGATGTATCACTCATTGGCACCGTGATGAAGATGGACAGTGTTCCCATTGATTTACATGTCGCAATGCTCTCCTTAAGGCCTGTCTCCTGTGAGTCATCTTCCTCGGATTAGTCACAAATGGCTTAAGTGCCAAACACCTCTTCGTGTAGATAGAGTCCTTGCGTGGTAGCCGTCTTGCGGGGCGGTTCCTTTGTTCCATAGGGAAACTTCTTTTGAGAATACCATTTTGGAAAAAAAATGTCCTGTAAGATGACTACTATGCAAAGCCTCTATTAAATGTCTCTAAATTAGTAACAGAACGGCTGGTTTGAGATTTATCTGAGGTTCAAGCCCCTTGTAGTATGTAATGATTGGGTCAATACTCATTTTGAAACCTTGTAATGATCCATTTTGAGCAAAGGACTTTCAGACTGGCTACTGACATATAAAACGTTAGAACAAATCCTACAAAACTTCGATTCGTTTGAAGGTCTAGATGTCTGTCATTTCTCCTGTCTCAACAACAGAATTGTCATCGAGTCATCCCATCGGTGGTGAAGCAGATGGCGGTTCCAGGACTCCGTTCTTAACAGGTGACACTGTAACTTTTCTTCGCAGGATTTTTCTTTTTACTTCTGAGATAAATGGATTTGGCACATGTCTTGATAGGTGCAACCAGCCAACAATACAGTGCTGACAAAATATATGCCAAAAAGTATAAAAGTCACCAAGTGTTTCAACTTCAATGTTACCGATTTCTTTGATTTGCTCCGGAGCCTCGTTTCCGTGTGCGTCTTTACGCTTGTACATCGAGGATGCAGACAAATGAATCGAGTGATGCAAATGAATCACTCTGAAACAGAATAGATCTTTGGTTGACAACCTGTCCATGGTGAAAAACTATGGATAAATCGAATATTAAGCGGGGAGCAAGCCATCAGAAGGATAATCAAGGAAAGTCCTTGCTGTGTACCGTACCGAGCCCGTGTGGCATGGGTATTTATATTTCGTAGTATCATAGCAGAGAGCCTACCATATACCTGTTGTGTAATCCAGCTCCGTGTGCAACCCTAATGCCCCTGTGTCCATTAGTTTCCAAAGGGTGCTGAAAGATTGGCGTGTTAATAGCATAACAAAGCTGTTGCTGGTGATGATTCCTTTTGTAGAGGCACCGTGTACCAGTGGGCCGCTAGGGATGCAAAGTGGAGCTATCCCCGATAGCAGCTTATCGGCTTCTTCCAGTTACAGCTCCTCCTATCTCCCGCCTAAAGCCAGGCTAAATGTCGGTGAGTCAGTCATTCTGGTATGTCATCAGTAGTTGCTTCAGTCTCGTCACTGTCTAGCACCGACATAAGCGTTGCTGGACAGGGGAAACCACTTTTTGAGGGGAAACGCACTCACAAACAGCAAAATGACAAACCACCAACGGTTGAAGGAAGTCAATTTTTATGTATCTTCATGCAAAAATGGTGACTTTAATTCGTTCAGTCTTTTTGGGGGGAGTTGGTAAGAACACTTTCTGTGTTGGTTTGTGTGACGTATGAAAAGTATTACTTCACACTGGAACGCAGTTATTTGTCACCGACATCTCTCACAACGGAGATCCTGCCTGCCAAACAAATATCTACTTTTAGAGGGTTACAGGTTCTGACTTTTGTTGATGGAGAAATCCCTCGTTTTGCGGTACAAATAGTACTTCTTAGCTGTGGAGTAAGACCGTTCAGAGTATTCTCTCTGTTCAAGGTCAAATAGACACTTGGCGTTCCCTGATACGATTACGCATACCAAGATGTTCCCTCGAAAAAGACACTCTTTCTCCTGGCAGGTACCGACGGGTGGGTGCCACGCCCTCACCAGAACCAATGGTTTCAGGTGGACCTTGGCGACCTTACGGCCGTCACTGGACTGATAGTCCAGGGCCACTCCGGGGGGCGGCACTACGTGTCCACCTTCACCGTACAATACAGCAACACTGGCGAGTCAGAGGACTGGCTGGGGCTGATCGACGCAGAGGGGCACACTCTGCAGGTAATGTTTGCAGGGATTCGGAACCAGCCACTGTGTGCTTGACAATGAGGTTCAAAGGCCATTTTGAGTTTATACCAAGGTCTGATTTGTAGGGAGAGAATTGGGAAGTGGGCTATATAACTTGACTAAAAGGCACACTCGATGGATTTGGCCGTAGTTGCCTGTTTTGGCTTCTCAAGTTCTGGGCGGGAAACCCAAGAGATGGAAAGCACGTTTTAAAGCCTGACATGCCTCGAAAACTTGTCTAGTTAGGGAAACAGCTATTTCCTCAGAATAACTCGGTCATTTTTCCACCGTGAAGGTGTTATATGGGCATTGCAGCCATTGGATTGTTGCTGAAAGGAAGGAAACAACCCTATTTACGAAAAAATGCTCTTTTTCAGTTGAATGGTAATGCGGGGGATGGACAGCAAGTGACGGTCACGTTTCCGGAGGTGCTGATGACTAGATACATTCGCATTTTGCCGACTGCTTGGAGTGCACCGACCTACCGACTCAAATTTGAAATCCTTGGTTGTAGAGGTAATGATATGATAGTCGAACACACTCGTGTAAAATGGGTTTTAATAATTTCACTGGTCGAGGATGATCACATGTCAGTTAGAGCAACTCTCTTACAGGCTACATCATTCACCAGTAGCTGTGCATATCCAGTCTGCTACTGCAAAGCTATTGCACCACGCCGCGGGAAGCCTCGTCCACATGGTTAAGCGTAGTCCATAGAGACGAGGTGGGACATCAGAAGCTTTGGAACTGGCAAATCAGCTAGTCATGCTCGAACCTTGTTCAGCAGAGCATTTGCCTGTATGGCAAAGACACCACCCTTCCAGATAACTGTTTACGTAACTCTTGCCTGGCAGGAAAGGTTATGGCGAAGTGTATGCTGTGGGGTTTATAGGTGATACTCTCACCATTGCACCAAACTGTCGACTGCCACATTGGAGGACATTGCAGTGACATGCATGTTTCCCTCAAAAGAAGTAAATGCACCAAACATCACAACCGTCAACAATATTCGAATCTAAAAAATAAGATGGTGAAATAAACTGCTGTCAAATGCTATGCCCATAATATGTACGATTTATACTAAATTTGAATTTAGTTTTTAGTTCCAAGTTGTAGTTAAGTATGCTCCTACTGTAATGAGTTTTCACTTTTCAATACGCCAGGTTGGATCAGAGCCAGTTTTGTCTGATATTCAAACTTTAATTTGTGCGCGAAGTTTCCGGGCAGCATTGACCAGTGTATGACAAATGACTATTGCTCAATGTCGACCTTTGTTTCTTCAGATGGCATAGTGCGTTTGGTGGATGGCGATGACGCCCTCAGCGGCCGGGTCGAAATCTACCACCACGATGCCTGGGGAGCGGTGTGCGACGAGGATTGGGACTTCAAGGGAGCAGCCATCGTTTGCAGCCAGCTGGGCTTCTTGGAGGCCCTGGAAGCCAAGCGTGGGTCGTTCTTCGGCGAGAGCGAGCTACCCATCGTGATGAGCCGGGTGTCTTGCAAGGGGACGGAGAAACGCCTGGCTGACTGCCCATTCGTCTGTACCAGCCCTCGCCAGTGTAACAACTCCCGGGAAGCCGGAGTCATATGCAAACCGAGTAAGAAAGAACGAAACAGAATTTTTAAGGAAATCAGTGGTTAAGTATGTGATCTCGTTAAAAAAAGGTAAGCGGCCAGTAAAGCTTTACCAGAATGGACCTGTGGACGCAGCCTTGTGGAAATGTTGCGCAAAGCTCAATCATGGAGCGCGATTACATAAAGAAGGCAGAGGTTTCTACTGTAGAAACCTTTGACCCAGTCTTTCCAAAATCGTTGAATTCCATTTTCTGTTCCTTTGCAAAATGAACAGGTTTTTAAATCAGTGGTGATTATCGAAACTGTAACAATGTGTGCTCTTTCGTTTTAAAACTGTCTTTCAGAGACGAATCGCAATAAGTCTTCTATTCATACATTGTACAGTTTGAAGTCATTTAATGTTCAACGAAATACGCGACCGGAAAAATGGTGTTCTGGGAATTTATGGTGGATGTTCAACTAAAACTCAATCGATAGATTCTATTCGGTTGGTTGGTGGTCCGAATCGCACAAGTGGCCGCGTGGAGGTCCACAAGGACGGCAACTGGGGTACGATCTGCGACAACGACTGGGATCTAACGGACGCCTCCGTACTCTGCCGCCAACTGGGCTTCTCCGACGCCGAGGAGGCCACGACAGGAGCCCACTTCGGCCAGGGTGAGGGCCAGGTGATCTTGGACGGCGTGGCTTGCTCCGGCTCGGAGAGTAAGATCACCGACTGCCCGTCGTTTTGTTGGGAGAGGACTCAGTGTAACCACACTCAAGATGCGGGCGTGGTCTGCCACGAGGGTAAGATGTAGTGACACGCTATGCCTTCATAGGTAATGGGCACTGCCTCCTCCGAGATTGTTTGGTTCCCAGACCTGATGAATACTACTGTATCTCTATCGATTCAAGGGTACGGTATTCCATCGTTTTCCGAAAAAATCCGAAATTTTCCCAACTCGGTGTCGCCCACATTCGGAAACTATCCTGGATGGTTGGGAATTTCTGCCCGCTTGTCCTGACTGGCGGATTACATATTCAAAAGCATTACTGCCTGACTGTATTTATGGCGATGGAATTCTGGAATTTGTTGAAGCTCTTCTTTGCTCGTATTGCATCCCCAAAATGAAATGAATGGAACGAACTAGCTTCCACCCCAGACCGCGGACTTTATTTTCTAAAATGGCGTCCGTGGCCTCCACAGGGCTTCTTGGTGACCCCTGACATGTTTTGTAATTTAATCGTAGGGTGATACCCAAACAACGATTTAATAAAGCATTGTCATATCGTTCGGTTAGGGAACCAGACTACCTTCAAGATTTCTTGGTGTTGGGCTTTGTAGATCATCACTAGTTTTAAAACCTGGCAAGACTTTGCAAATGGGCAAAGGCGCGATCTTTGTTCTCTCATGAAATATTTCAAGATGTGCTCGTATACATTTAGTTAACCAATAGCCTATTAACTACCAATCGCGCTCGAAAACAATAGTTTAGTTCGCGATTTTAGTTAACTACAATGCAGTTGCATTTCGTTATTAAACTTTCAGAAGCATTCAAGTACATGCAATACCCGGTATCACTTCTTTACTGAATACTTTCCTCACAGAGCCATGGGAGTCAATTAATCAAGAATTTAGCCTTACACGTATCAATGAAACGAATGAATTTCTCCTAGAATGGACAAGGTGCTTTCATTTCAATGCTGAAAACTGGGGGTGAAGGTAAGGGTGTTGTCTGGAGCAGGGTGTATGGTGTACCGTAATGAAAAGCGCCACCTAGTGGAATCTTGTCCTGTGCGTACAGCTCTGTATAGACTAATCCGATTAGACGCCATAACTGCGGTGGCACCGCACTCACACGCACATTTATTAGCTTGACGCGCGCGTACATTTGGCAAATCACGACACCCTGTTGGTCGAAGAGGCATGTAACGCGCGCGCTCCACCTGTCCACGAGTGTTGTGCCACCGCAGTAATGGTTTCTAATTCTGGTGGTCGAATTACTCTATAGAGACAGTATAGTGTCAGCTTCAGATTATGGACACAAATGGCTGTTTAATATGTCTACAGTAGAGTGTGGGGCAACCATCTGTGTGCACTTTCGCATGCACTGTCACACCTGCCATTTTGCTTCCAACAATATTATGGCAATTATGTCGTAACTCCCCCTAGACGAGGCTCTACCTGTTTGACTTGGTTGGCACCCCATGTCCGATAGTATCCGCTCCCTAAGGGCCCGTTGTTTGAATCTCTGATGTCACTTAGTTTTCTGGTCAGAAGCCTTCACCGGGCTTCTGATGAAAGTGGAAGCGAATTTGTGACGTCAAATCGAATATTCGCGTCGCGAATTTGCCGAAGTGGAACACATTATAACTTGAGCGAAATTTTGCCGCAAAGCTGTCTCGCGACCAATTCGCTTTCGCATTCGCCCGAAGTATATGAAACAACCTTCATTCGTGCCGAAAAGCAGACATCTGCGTATATGTGGAGGGAGACTGAAACAATTTAACACTTTCTGGGACATTCAATCATTACTATACATGTACATAGTCTGATTTGCATTTCGTAACATTTGAGGGTTTGATTTGTTATTTCATGTTGACAGGTAATCTTGCGCCCTCAAGCGACGTCGATCACTACAAACACGAGTAGAAGCGAGAGGAATAAATCGAGAGTTCAGCCTCAGACGAAGTCTGAGTTTGTCTCATCAAATCACATCTGTTTGTCAATCTGCCAACTGCCACTAGCATTATCACATCCGCAAGTTCAGTGATCTCAACACCTGTAAACATACATTCCGTTCTCTCGATATGTCTCGTCTTGATTACCGTGTTTCTCTGTTGTGTGGTGTGCGAGCGAAAACAGCCTACAGAAACTCCAGTCGACCGATCTCATGACGCATCACATTTCATAACCCAACTGCACTGGCTACTTATGAAGTATAGTGTACTTTCAAATTACTCCCGATTACGTTTAAATCCATACGGCTCATCACCTACCTTATAGACCTATTGTTTCAATAAGATCGAGAAGGGCTGGTCTTCATTTGATACGTCCCGTCTACATACGTACTATACTCGTTTTGACTTGTGCAGGATTTTTACAAAGTAGGGCAAAACAAATCTTACTTTAAAGACCTGAACTCAAACAGATTTGGGGATTTCAGTTAATTGCCTTGCCACAAAAATGCAAATGCCAAGACTCACGTGAAATGTTTATAATTTTAACCATAGTATAGTTACCCTTTTACATGTTCAATGTATCGATACAGTGCATGACTGTTAAAATGTACGATACCCTTATAATGAGGATGAACGCTACAATGCGTCTGCTTCTACGCTTGCTCTTAAACTGAAGAAAATCATTATCATCTTGGGGTACACAAGAACTTGTGATAGCTACGATCAGTAAAGCCTTCTACTTCACTTTGATTTTTTTGTCTGTGGCCATATATTACCGTAACTATGGGGTTCCAAGTGTATAGGAATGAGAATGGAGATACACGCATCCCTCCACAGATTACCGTCACTATGGGGACTCCATAGATTACCGTCACTATGGGGACTCCATAGATTACCGTCACTATGGGGACTCCATAGATTACCGTCACTATGGGGACTCCACAGATTACCGTCACTATGGGGACTCCATAGATTACCGTCACTATGGGGACTCCATAGATTACCGTCACTATGGGGACTCCATAGATTACCGTCACTATGGGGACTACAGTGCATAAACATGAGACTGAATACACATGCATCTCTCGTTGGAGTTTCTGTGTTCATTTCGTTGCAAACACCTGCCAAACTTCGCAACATTCGTTAAATTTCTTTCACAAGCGGCTGTCGCCAACCGACCGCCGCCAACATGTAGTATTCTCTCTTTTGGAACAAAGCCAATGCAAACGGAAAGCGAAACCAAACACTCAGGTGTTGACCTCCTTCGGGGTCTTCTATATGCGACAAAATCGTGCAAAAATAGGAAATAAGGTACCTCTATCCCCCACGACGAGCGTCATCTTATAAGCTAAACATCTAAACTACATGGCCTGTTCAGAGGAATGAATTACATGAAAATAATTAATGTGCGTAGTTGCATTCTGAGTGATTTCTTAATTCCAACACATGCTCTGTATAATATTGTTTTCACAGTTTCATTTATTAAAAAATGTAGCAGAAAGTACAGAAACGTCCTTGTCACATTACCTAAGTCTACCAAGGTGCAACATGTAACAGACACAAACATGTAGTCAGTTGTGTATTTTTCACAATCACTTTCCATGAAGAGAATGTGCGAAAGACGTTCATTTTATACTCACACAAATAGCATTTAAGTACAGATTTATTTCAACAGCCCTTAAACTTCTTAAAAACTAACTTGCAATCTTTCCTGAACCGCCTGTTTGCCAGTCCGTAAATCAGAGGATTCACAGCGTTGTTGACGTAAAGTGCGAGAGAAAATTTCCCCACTATTTTATAGAACACTGGATTACCGTAGGAGGCAAATTGCGCAGCAACAATCATCCAGTAGGGCAGCCAAGTTAGTAGAAAGACTACGCTGGTGATGAAGAGCATTCTTGTTGTCTTACGCTGAAGTCCGGTAGCATCAGTCTTTGGTACTGTATTTCCAGCATCTCTGAGGATTTTGCTTGGATTACCGCTCTCGCCAACGACAGGAGGGTCTGTCTTCTTTGATGTACCGGTATGTCGGGTCATTCTTGCTGTTGGCGATCGACCGACACGTGGCTTCTCCCTTTCTTCAAGGAATGACTCGTTGACACCGACATCATAGCTTGAGGTCCCCTGGAACGGCCAAGTGCAGGCATTGGCCTTTTCGCTTGGCTTGCTGACAAATGCCGACAAGGTAGAAACTGCAGTGGTGTTGGACTCGACGGCTGTGAGCATATCAGTTTGTATCCTTGTCGACCGTTCGTCATCTTCCCTCGAACAATCTTGGTTCCGTGTTACGGCTTCAGCATCAACTCGGACGTGTTTTTTAATGGTTAGATAGACCTTTCCGTAACATACAGTGATCATTATCAGGGCAGTACCAAAGTTGAAAGTTTGGAAAGCCTGCTCCACAGTCGTCGTTAACGTAATGTTGATGCTTCTAGGGATAAAAGACGGAATGCTCATGAGTAATGATAATACCAGCACTGCCCCGGCTGTTATCTTGCCTCGTCTGTACGTGAAAAACCGGCGATGTGGTCGGCAAACGCAGTCGTAGCGGTCAGCTGCTATCACTGCAGTCATAATAATAGACGCGGAAATAGCCAATTTGTTGAATGCCCAAATCATGTGTTGGGTATTGAAGAAATCATCGCTCTCGATAGCATTACTAATGATTACAGCTCCTTGATAAATGCGATTAACACTGAACAGGCAGACACAGAGGTCTGCCCAGGCTAAACCCATGATGAAAACGTGTGTGCTGGTTTTCAGAGGTTTACTCCAGTAGACAAAGAGAATGAGGCAGTTACCGGGCACACCGAACAAGAAAATAAATGATTCCAAAACCAGTTGATATTTGTATAAATCGATGTCGAGCGAATCATACGCTCCTTCTTTGCTTCCATAAGCGGCTGTAGAATTCGGCTCGAACGTGTTTTCCATGACTGTCGACATGTCGTTTCGTGCACGATCCTCACCTGATCAGGCGGTGTGTTTGCACGAGAGAACAACGGACGATAGCTATCGACGGTGAAGAGAAACGCGCTCTGCACTCAGTGCACAAGTAGCGAGTGTATGCATACGCATCACGGAAAGCGTGTTACCGACAATACAGTTGACAAAAAGTGATTAACAAAATGTCTGTTTTCTCATTGGGTGCTATGCCCAGTAGTCCAATCACATATGCAGGTTCGCCGTTGACCAATCACTGGTTCACGCAAGTTGCAATAGTTATTGCCATCGAGGCACTTTGATTTAAACAGCAGTCTTTCGGATGAGGACTCACTTCTTATTTTATCCATGGACTCGTTGTTTGCAAGCAAAGAAGACAAAATGCATTTCAAATAAAATAAATACGAGGTCGGCGCACCGGAGGGTTTTAAGTAACCTTTTTGGGAGCTCCTCTTCATCAATTAAATTGTCACTGACTTCGAGCCACAGGAAAGTCCGAACAAATTGAACAGTCCTTCAATTCAAATTGAATTAAATCTGACGCATGTACGGGCCTAGTTTGATCAAGATTGGCAGAAGCGGTGTTTTCAAGCTCCTTTCCGACAAATTCAATAAGAGCACCTGGATGCAACTCGCGATGATCTAAGTTAATCAAAAGAGGTCTGTTGTGGCGTTTTCGACCCGTTTTCATTAAATCAAAGTGTAAGGATGCTACTTGAGGTCGCCAGACTTAATAAAGAGTGTATGCCAAGGCGTTGGCAAGCCTCTTTTATTGAACTGAAGGAAAGACTCCTTGATGCAACTCGGGAAAGGATCGGTGGCATGGTGAGACAATGGCAAAAGTACGCTTCAATTACCACAACGGAAATGGAATGGTGTCATTGGATAGCATACGGATTTTCTCAAACACCGAGTGAATATTGTTTCTGGCAACGTAAACATTTATCAGAATGGAAATATTTGTACTTCATAAGTTAGGTAATCTCCTCCTTGGGATTTAGTGTCAATGCCAACAGCCCGAAATTAAAGGCGGCTGCCTGAGGACCATGGTGGCCGCCAGAAATAAGAAGCGTTTTTTGTGTTCAAGCATCCAGCCGCAGGCAATATAAGCTACATACCTCCCGTTCGCTACATCACAGTTGCATAGTTTTCCTGTTTAAAGTTTGGCATGATATATTGCTGGCCTTCAGTATCGAATTATTTACGGAGCTATTAAGATACTGGATAATACATGCTATTTCTACTTCGTGTCCGAGTAAAGGCGACCTCACTTTCTTACTTCGACACCTTAAACGAACACGCAGGTTGGTGACGCAGCTAATTGACATTTCATTTTGGTACATCTGTACATGCATGAATTGTACAAATATTGTAGAAAATTTGATAATGTATTATATTGTATTATTTAAGTGAATGTGACCGCATTGATATCTTCTCATAGCAACCTTTTGGTGGTCGGCACGCCTTCACTGCCAGAAATTGTGCATTTGCATAACACATGTATTTCACGCTTTGAAGTCCCAATATGCATGTATGCAGTTGCCTGGAATGCATACATGTACTTGTTTTCTTTTTCCATGGAGGAGTTGTTCAAGGAAACCTGACGTGGAGCCTCAGTCTCATATAGACGTCCTAGCAGTTGGTGCACGGTTCCCTCAGCGATCTTCAATGCAGCATTATTTGATTCCGGTGAGTGGGCTAGCAAAACTTATCGCTTCAGCACAGCGCTTCATGACTTTTAACGTTCCATATATTGCACGTGATCATCTGGATCAGGATGGTTGGAGATTCTCTTGAATAAATGGACTGGAGAGTTTTAGATCCCTTGGCTATAGCCAAACGTAGTCCCATTGTTTAATGTCTCTAAAAAAAAGTCAAATAAATATGTGAAGTTGGTTTTAATAAAAACAAATAAGGAACGTAGTGTTTAATTAACCTCGAGCCCAGTTTTTGGTAAGTTTAAGTCTTAGTTGGCACATTGTCTGGCAGACGTCACATAATTGTGGCCTGTCGCCGCAAAATGAGCTGAAAGTCGGAATTTTCAAAACTTGAGATATTGGCATTTTTTAATTCAGTTTTAATTCAATTTAATTAAAAAGAGCTCTCCAGTGGTATAACACGGAACACTTACGGTAAAAGTAAAAGGTTATAATGTTGCATTATTGTGGCTGCCTGGCGTCTTCGTTTCCGACATTATTTCAATATATCCTACCAGGGACGAACACTGCTCTCATCAAAGTTGCTCTGAAAGTCCTGTGAAATATTTGGAATTAAACAGGCGACAGCTTATTTTTTAAATATTACAAAACCCAAACTTGTCCCCCACGGCAATAGGCCTACAACATTGAGCCCTCAAAATAGGAAAGAGCAAGATGAAACTCTACTCTCATTTTGTCATTTTGTCGGATCACAATTACCTGATTTTATTTCAGGCATCTGAAGTCAACGTATTTGAGGAAGTTTATCGAACTTATAACCTCTATAGTTGGGGTTTATTTGTTATACTTCAGTTATTATATCTTTCTGCTCAATAAGTTGCAGCTGCTACCAAAGTATCTACTGGCCGCAAGAAAATCACATCGAAGAAATACTCACGCGCTATTTAAAAAACTCCCATCCTATCCCTTAGCACTCTCTGATGCCTATTCAGGACCGAAGCAAAAATTTAATAGACGCTTGCTTTTAAAAATTCTTAACAAGCCGCCAAGCACACCCAAATTTAATCAAGGTCAGTTTCCCTCAATTGAATAAAAGCCCGTTGAAAACGCCGCGTCACACACTCTTTATTAAATTGGGCCAGAAATCAG